CAGAATAAAAAATGCTGAGAGTTCCGATTTAAAATTTTGCAGTAAATCTTCAAATGACCCTTAGTCTTTCAGTTAGTACGTATCACACTCACCAGTATGTCCCCTGGGATTTTGATTCGTACACTTTCTTCGAGCAAAATGAATATTTATCGATATTTTTTCTAAATCTTCTTATAGACAGAAACACAGATAATTTTTGCTATTTTAGGATTTTGTTTACGGTGAAACCCTTCAGGTATAGAATTGCTATCTGATATGTATTCAAGTTGATACTGTAAATGATTTTGTTTCTCTTTCGTGTAATAAGTTAATTATTAACTAACTTGATCATTTAAAAAAATTGTAAAATTTGTAATTTCGATTGTGAACAATTCTGAGGTACTTAATACTTTCAATACTTTTGGTTGATTTAGGTAGGTAACGTTAAAAATCACTGGTAGTAAGTATAACACAAAAATTTTGACTTTGATTAAAATACTTATACCTTCCCTTTTCCGACATTTTCGATAATATATCCATTTTCTCATAATTGATAACTTTTTAATTAATAAGAGATTATAATTTCATGCTAATTTTTGTCAAAATATCTTAATCTGATTCGCTGTGTGATCCCCGTGGTGATTGTTATTTTGGTTTTGTTAAATTAATTAACGATTTGTAAACACCTCTAAAATGCCACATTAAATGCAAATTACTTACGTACTATGAATATTTATTGTTTTCGGTTTTCCGCTTTAAAATTGCTTTTTATTCGGTTTTAAAATGTGAAACACGCGCAAACAAATTCAGATAATATATAAAAGAAAATATGCCGGTTCAGTTTAACTGTTTCTGCAAACTGGTTGTTGAGTTAAATACGTGACGAATGCAGAAAGTATGCGCATTATTTTAATGAGAAAGAAAAAGTAAATACAAATTGCCTGATTTTAATGTGAACACCTGGAGCTTTCATTCGAGAATCCTTTAACAACCATTTCTGTAATTTTCATATGTAACCATCTCAACAAACGACGAAGTATCCCATTCTTAAGATGGTCTGTGGTGGATGTAATTATAAACTCAACGAGAAATATCGTTCGCGGTAAAATTTATAGATTTTAGACGTTTTTAATTATGAATGCAAAATAAAAAATTTTGGAATTCCTACCACAAAAGTTGAAATAAGGAAGAATATAAAACGACTTCACCTATTCTTCTATTCTTCCGCTTAGTTTGGATCTTAGGTAGATACTAAGCAAAGATTCTAGACCCTTATGGGTTAGAAGGCTTATGTTTGTGTGAAGAGCCAACACAAAGTATTAGTTCTTAAAACAACTTTATAGTTGGGACAATCACAACTGACAAAGTCCGCAATAATTTATCTGTGAGAATGGACGTATCTTCTTTCTTGTTTATACTTGGGAATGTACTCATTTACTGCCTCTTGAACACGCCCTCGTTAAGTTAGGAAATGCTTCATGAGTAGAATAGACAAGGTGAAAAGAGATAACTGAATATTAATAAGCGGTGTAGCGGTTAGAGATCGCTTAGATACGCAAAAGATCAGGATCATACGTTTAAACAAGCATTTTTGCTTTCCTAAGTTCCTGAGAATGTTGAACTTTCTTTAAAGTCTGATGCTGACAACATGCTCAAGTTCTGCTTGTCTGCATCTCTTTCTCATCATCATAAGGTCGTCAGTCTTAAGACTGATTAGACACGTACCTCCACCCTTTCCTATCCTGAGTTAAACTTTGCATTTCCCTAAAACTAGAACAGTCCACATCCTTAACTATTTGCGAACAGTAATCTAAGCTAGGTCTACCTCTACCCCTCCTAACTCCTGCTTTTGCCTGTAATATGTCTCTGACCAAACCTTCATGCCTGATGAGGTGTCCTACCAACCTATTTCACATATTTTCTATTGATTCCATAGAGTCTGTTCTCTTATTCTTTCTAATACCTTTTCATTTCTAACCTTTTCTACCCACGTTATCCTCATCATTCGCCTATAACACTATCTCTTTCTGCTACACATTAACTGGTGTAATGTTATTCTCTTTTCTTTATTAGTGTCCGCTACAATTCCTACCTGTCATCTCTTTTCTATGTTTACGATACTGTCGTGTGTAAAAGTAAGGGTTCTGTCAGCAACCGCTCTAGTTTTATTGCAGACCATGTCAAGTTTGAACATCGCAACTATAGTTGCCATCTATACCGGTGTAGTCACGGGTGAGCCCGGATGAGCCATACACCAAGCATTGAAAGTCCTGACCAATGCGCAGGCCCACCCTGGATATACCTAAACCAACGGCGCCTCGGTCAAATGTCCAGGTTATCCGACCCTAGAGCGGGTACTCATAATCTACCACAAACTATATTCAAGTGTTTTCAGTAGTAGGTTTTTTGTCTACTGCCTTCCTGATCAATTATTAGGACACCCTATACATATTGACGTTTTTCTCAAGTAAATTGCAGTGTAATGCCAATTATTTCGAGACAATGACCCAATTCTCACCCGAAATCCAGCTATGCAGCTTCAAGACGAGTTGCTACACCTATAGTTCTTGGAACTTGCGTGGCGTAGCTAAAATAAAGAATGAGAACAAGTCGCGAGTAGTCGTGAATAATAATAATCATAATTTTTATTTCCTCACAACAGGGACAGAGACGGTTCATGATTAAGTAGGATCCTCCTTTCCATCAGACGAGCACAACATGATTTTGCATATTCGAACTATGAAATCATCGGAAAAAGTTTTCTTGCTTATTATAAATTTAATACTTTTGGATAATAATAATACCTGCTTTGTATACATAAACTTTCCGCCATTGCTCACAGTTCGTTTCTCTCCTTAAGATATAGTCTGGTGTGCTTTTTTCCAATTTTGACATCCATCTTGTACATTTTATAAATATTCTCTACTTGATTATATCCCCATGGAATCGAACGTTTCTAACTATCTACTGTGTTGAATAAAATTATCCTTTCCCCAAATGTTTCTATACAATTTTTTGTCCAATTCCCCATTTTTTCCTATTACTACATTTGCCTTTACTATTTGATTATTTTTATGTATATTATTCTTGTATTCTCCCATCATATATCACGGTAGTGACAACCCTTTTTATTGTCATACCCTTCCATTTTACTTCTTCTACTTCTTTCTTTTTTCTGCCCCATGTCTCTTCAAATTCCATTATTTTAGCCTTCCCTCTATACAATTCTATGCCTTTCACCTCTAAATATAATTCCAATGATCATTCCTTTTAATGCATCATGAGATTAGCAAAACATCATCTGCATAAGATATCGTCCTCACAATTTGCAGTAGTAAATTAACTAAATTTACATCTAAATTGCATAAATTGCATAAAATACACTTTTACTATTTGTGCATATGTGAACTGCTTTGTATATACGGTGTATAACAAATAAGTGCGGAGATTTAGGGGTGTAAAATAAATGCAACAAGAAATCGCATAGTAAATTCAGCAGCGTGATTAAGGACAAGAATTTTTTTCAGGAAAATAACTGTAATTTTATTGAGTCAAATCTGCACACCGCCATCGAGATATTACTAGGCGCATTAATCTCTTTTTTGGATGGTTCGCCAATAGCCCTATCATCCCACTAGAAAATATTAAAGATTTACTGTTTGTAAATGAAATACCTTATTTGATGCTACTAAAGTTGTTCGAAATTAGAAACCCCTGCGAGAAGGCAGGCTTCTAGATCAAGTCATTAGGTTTGTGTACACGCGCTGTTTCATACAACCCCATAAAATTTTATGGGTTGTATGGTTCTTAAGAAGTTAACTGATTTAAATCCAGATTGCTCGCTGGCCAAGGTGCAGCAACCCATACCTCCAATCCACCGTCCAGAGAGAAACTTACGTACTGGTTTTGCAATTTGAGAAGGTGTATCATCGTGTTGAAAAGACATCTACGCAGTTGTAACATTAGATCTTCAACTTCATTCGATAGATTCTCTTGTTAAAAAAGTCAAATAAGTACAGTCATTTAAATGCAAAGGCAAACAGCGAATTGTTGAAATCGCGAAAGATGTACGACATAGGCATTTGTGTCACACCGATGTCACTTGTGAAAATTCCAAATTCCGTCCCGCGTGAAACAATAATTGTTTGTAAACAGCACCCTATGGAAGAAATTAAGTTTTTAAGCACTTTTCTGCCGAAACCACTGACACAAATCCACTCGCTGCTGAAAATTAGTTTCAAACAAGACTTGCACTCGCTGTAAATGATAAGCATGTAGCAAATATTCCTTTAAAATTTGTCAAACTGTCACATGAGAGAGAGTCAACGTTCCATGTTATTTTCCGTGTACTATTTTAGGAGTTGTTTTTTTATAAACTCAAAGATTTTGTCCTTTACAGCGGCTATGTGATCGAACCCTTAAATAAACACGTTCAACAGTGGCATACTGACCTACTCCAATGACGGATTTATATTGTTTATTGAACTGCACATCAACTGACTAGATACAAGGTTTAAACCTTAAAAGAACAAACAACTACTAAAGGTTGACTGTAACACAAACGTATTGTGTCGCACTTCTATAATAATGTCAATAATCTAATCTAGCAAACAATACATCAGCAAAAAATACAAATATACAGAACCCTGATGCTCTGCTAATTGCCAGCTGATTGAATGCAGCGTTGCATTGTCCTATTTCTTTACAAAGGTCGGAATTACATTTACCTGTACATTTAACTACCGTTTTCTTGAAAACAGTGGACTTTGGGACATACAAACATTAACTTAATTTTCTTGTTTTATAGTGCCCTATCACCTCTTGCAAACTGCGCACTTATTTCAGTTACACCTTGCACACATGCATACATTAAATAAAACACTTATAATCCAAAATTCCACATAAAACGTTTACAACCTTTAATACGTATTTAGGGATCATCATCTCATCAGCTAGAGGGTTAGAGACTGCCTTTGACTGATTCTATCTCACAAATGTAATAAAAATATCTTTTGTTACAGTTTGTGTCGTAATACAACCACGGTGGTACCACATTCTTTTTCAAGAAAATTAATCGAAAGGCAAGACGTAAATGTAATATAATAATAGTGGGTGAGTCTATATATATATATATATTATGTTTACCTAATATAGTAAAAGATAGAATGAAAAATTAACTGCAAAGGTCAACTAATATACATAGGTTTAGGTTTAATTTTTCATTAGATATAATTTAAAAGGCTTGCAAACATTTATTTAAACTGCTATAACTAAATAACAAAATTCCAAAAAACAGTATTTTATATATTACAAACTGAACGAACACAAAGGGAGGAATGCAGTTGTTAAGAAAGCTGTTAATAAAGTATATTTCAACGAAATTGCAATCCTTTTCTTTGATTATCAATCTGTCCAAATCCCTAGGAAAGTAGGATTTTATTTTCCAAAATTATAACATTTAAAATTTCTGGATCCTCTTAGACCTCAGAGGCTACTTATTTCAAAAATTGAAAATTCAATTTATCTATATGTGAATTAATATTTTACATTGTTTTCGTTTGATAATTTAGTTTGGGGTTTCAGTGACTCGCTTTTAAGTTAAGTTTAAAGATATTGTATTTTGCATAAATTACGAATAAAAATAAATAAATGGGATGGACGTTTCAATTTCATACATATACATTCGAGAAAAACATAACAATCTATTATCTATAGTAAATTAATAAACTAATATTATTCATTGGATGACTTAACTTAACCTTTCTTATATGTGTAAATAATAAACTTGCGAAAAATTAAATGAAAATGTATTCACATTTATTAATAAAAATGCTACTATTTATTAATTTATATACAGTATTACTGAAAAATTATGCTTATAGCACACCTCTATCCTACTAATTGTAAGAGAAAAGTATTGTAAACAAAAGTCGGAATAATTAATCGATAAATTTGCATTTTTTAATGCCTATGGTATGTAGGTATCAAATAGCTCTGAGATCAATAAGGATCCGTTAAACAGGCATACACTACCTGGTGGCAGAATTTGTACTAGTGAATGGTAAAATTATTTATTAAAATCATAAAGTGCGTCCAAATAAACGAAAATGTTTTTGATAATTGAGTTCGCAGAGTTTCTCTTCTTGTAAAATCGAATAAAAGGTTGTTAAAAAGCTGTATCACCTTCTCCAATAATGATCATGAACTGCGTTTCCATTATTTCTCGATAAAAACTAACTGTTGCATATATGTATATGAACAGATAAATGCGAAATATACAATTCAAGAACTGAATAATTTCTGTACTCAAATGCTGAAATATAGTCTTGTTTGTCCAACTGGAAAAATACTCTAACCATTTTATGAACTGGACAAAAAAATTGCTTGGATAGTAAAATGAAATGTTATTACAGTATCCAGCTCACGGAATGGGCGTCCAATTCACATAATGAATGTATATATAAAAAAAAACTATAAATTTTAGGAACATGTATGGAAGCAATAGGTGTAACTGAATTTCAGAATGAAAATTTATTCATATCTGCATTTACTTTGGGATTTGGGCCTTATCTACGGTAGAATTAATAGAACAGCGTTGGCAATTTCACCGGAAATATATTTCTTAAAAAGAAAGGAACAGAAAATAAAGGGACCTATAGGTCTTTTCTCTCTGTTTTTTTTTTCGTACACACTTGTAGTCAGCTGTGCCGGTCAAAAAAAGAAAAAGCTTTTGGGTGTTTTCATTTCCACTAGGTACTAATGCTGGTGGGCGGACAATCCCTTTTCGGACTACGCCGGAGAAAAAAGTGGAAGACCCTTTTCAGTCTCCTTTTAAAACCGTCGTGGTATGAAGCGAACAAAACAAACATAATTAGCAGAAAATGAAAATGTTGGTTGGTGTTTTTAACACTCTTCGCCACCTCTTCTTGTATCTAACGAGAATTACTTTATATTGCAAATTTGATAAACTGTTGGAACGGGCCTATTTTATTCTACTTTTCAAACAATTGAAAAGGCCTTGTTTATATTAATTTTGCTATTTAGAGTTAAGGACCATCGTAGCAAAACTGTGAATAATAGGATAAAGATAACATTGCATTTTCTATCAAAAATGACTTAAAGCAAATTATTTTTGCAGAGCAATCGTTCTGGACACCCCTCTTTTAGAATAAACCGATTTTAAGAGGTTTCCCGATTAGTCATAAAGGTACAGTTTATAATACAAAAATACATTGAATCTTTTTGTGTTCTAAACTTGCGTAGGTATTTGACGCTTTTAATTTGTAGATATGATTTCACTTTCCACATTTGTATACTTCAGAGTTTTAATTTTTATTGTGATTTTGTCTGTACGTTATAAGTTTATATGATAATAAATATTCGCCGCATTTTCTCAAACTTTGGGTGACATCTAAATATGTTAATCGGATGAAATTAATTATTAAGTACTTGCGACCATTATTTTCGGCCATTTTATTTAATGGTCACTAAATGAATAGATTATAGCAGTATTAACATCTAGCAGGGAGGACTCAGAGATAGTTTTAAATAAAATGGATGCGGTACTGACAAAACAGTAGGTACTGTATAAAAACAAATAAAAGTAAAACAAAAATACTGGTATGCAAGGGAAGAAAAAGTAGGGAAAGAGCGAATATAATGATAGGAGACGAAAAATTAGAAGAAGTGGCTAATTTTAGATATCTAGGAAGTCAGATAAGTCAGGAGGAAAGGAGTAGTACGGATATAAAGCAGAGGATAGCGGGGGATCAAGTCGCCTTCAATAAAAAGAAGACACTTCTATGCCCGAGAAAGTTTAATTTAGAAATTTGAAAAAGGTTGCTCAAACTGTATGTTTAGATCTCAGCGTTGTACGAGAGCGAAACATGGATGGTGGGCGCTGCAGAAAAGAAAAGGTTAGAAGCCTTCAAAATTTGGTGTTACAGGCGAATGATGAGGATACCGTTGATAGAGAAGGTTAGAAATGAAGAGGTATTAGAAAGAATAGGACAAAAGAGGAAGTCAATAAGAAATAGGTCAGATAGGCTATAGGTCTAGGCAGACACATATTAGAGGTAGAAACGGAATTTAGGAGGGGTAGAGGTAGACCTAGATTAGATTACTGTTCACTAATAGTTAAGGATGTAGGTTGCTCTAGTTTTAGGGAAATGCAAAAATTAGCTCAGAATATGAAACAATGGAGGTGCGTGTCCAATCAGTCTTAGGACTGACGATCTTATGATGATGATAGATGCGATATCAATGCATGCTAAAATGAAAACGGTAATTTAAACAATGGCACAACACTTAAATATTAATTAATTAATTTAATTAAAAGTCAAGTATCTGAAATATTATGTTGAAGTATCTTTTTGTATTTACAACTGTACAAAATGTAGATACCGATAAAAAAAGTTTCTTGACACTTACTAGGTGTTGTAATGAATAATGTCAATGATAATAACAATAATTAAAAATTATGAAACTGTGACAAATGGAAAATATGCATACCTTACATAATTACCGGAAATTTAATACAGGTACCTATATTAAGTAGGCGTAGGAAATCGAGTCAATAAAGAAATGTGAAATGTGGAAATCAATCAATCGTATATGCATATGTATATGTTAAACAGACATTTTAACGATAAATGTAAGGCGACAGGTGTAGGTAAAGATGAAACACAGATGTTTATTCAAATAAGCTCAAAAGTCATGAATAATTTATTCATAAAATTTTGTAATTCGATAAAGCTTACGTACCAAAATCGTATACCCGTATATTGATGACATTTCCAGATGTTCTAGATACTGCATTCTTACCTACCCACACGTAATATTAATAAAAAATTATAAATGCTCATTTATTTTATTTTATTTATTGAAAAATTAAAAACTTTATTTCGCAGTTCAAGCCTAAAAACTTATATGTATAATCCAGACGTTACGTAAGGGAATGGAAAGGTAGAGGGGTCAGGCCTGTTACTTAGGGGAATGTCAAAAATTAATGAATTTTGCTTTAGGATTTGTGAACAAATCCTAGGTGTACATCCAGTCTTGCAATAACTTCTGACACTAATGTAAAATTTCCAGAATGATAAACAGATACCTTCAGCTTTACAAGTTCCTAGCTGAACAAACAAATTAAATACTACAAAAACTTGTTTTTCTAATATATATTTTAGTTTTTCAAAATATTTTTATAGTTGGGAATTCGTTGGTCCCTTCATCTCAACTGAACCTGTGTCCTGCTCTTTCTCCGTCGGCATTCGGTACCTTTGGCCTTTAACGAGTTGCGAAGTTGTACTGATGGCATGGCGCATCATAAAAGGGTCTTTTTTTCTGATTTCTGTGGGACTGTGGAGCTGTAGGACCCTAAATACGAGGGTGGATTGATAAGTTTCCGGCCTGACCAAGAAAAACAAGGTTTTTAAAAATTTTTTTTTTTTATTTCTCAACATAATCTCCTCCAAGGCTGATACATTTCTCATAGCGGTGTTCCAGTCTATTAATGCCATCTCTATAGACTGATTCGTCAAGCTCCTCA